AGCAGCTTTAGCACTTTGTATCTTGTAAAAAAAATTGAAAAAGTTTACACTAGCATTTATTGTTTTCCTACAGGTTGTGTGAAATGTCCTCATGGAACCTTTAACCCCGGCACGGAAGTCTCCTGCCAGCCATGGAAAAAGTAAGGACCAGAATTTTATCACTGTTTCGACTGTCATATATAGGTATAGGTCAAAGACACTGTAAGATCTACTGTTGGCTTTACAATGAGGTATGATAGATTCAAGGGTAGCATGCAAAGAGTGGTTAGTAGATAGATTACTAAATGCATGAAACTTATCACAAGTATGCCACAAACATCGTTAGTGTGTGTCACTTAGTATGTGTTTCCTGTGTTTAAACAATGGCAACATTTTATGCAGCACAGTAAACCAAGCTATTAGGACCCTTCCCAGGGTAGGATACTATAGTTCTGTGAACACATGAGACAGCCTAAAGTCAATTAATCTGCCAGTTAGGTTTTGGATTGAGGTAGGTACTCAAAAGAGAACCCATAGAAACTGAAAAATGAAGCCATTCACTTTTATTAGTAGCTTTTGAAACAAAGGAAGTAAAAGATCACCAGAAGTACTCGCAGCAGCTACTTGTGAACACATCAGAAGCAGGTGAATATCAGATATGATTTTATAGTTATTCATACATTTGTTAGGAATAAGTGGTCTGTCCATCCATGGCTGATGCTTCAGCGTTGGGTGAGCACTATAGTGCTGATTCTGGCACCAGCTTCTTACATCTTACAATAAAGCGACCATCTTGTTGCCAACTTACCCCCTCCCATAAAATATGTGAGTGGAGCTGAGCCCATGAAAAACATAAGGCGCCAGTAGGCGAGTAAACCTGCCACTGTGTGCCCAAGTTTATTATAGTTAGTTGAGCTGACTCTTTAAAGCCATCATCTAATCTTTAGCGCTTTTGGATCATTTTTATATTTTTTTTGAGTTGTTTTAAGTCTTATTTTGTACTATTTATATAAACTTTTTTTTTTTAAATGAATATTGGCTGTTGGGTGTAGCCATGATACATAGCAGTTTGGGGTTTCTAAAGAGAGAGCAGAGCAGGAGCTGTTTGCCTTTAGACTCTCTCTCCAATTTAAACTTTCCAAGGAACCCCCGGAACAGAGTAGCCAATAGATAGGGGGGTGGGTGAGTCCTGTGACTCATTAAGTTGTAGATTGGAGCTCAAGCTATTGAGCAATGTGAAGGCATTGTTTGTTAAAGCAGGTAAAGTTAGTATGGCACATGTGAGAAGGAACCTGAGGCACCACCTCATGATTAAAATATGATGAAAAATATAAAATATGAACTCCCAATTACTGCCGGCACCCCCCTTGAAGCATCACTGCAACTTCATTTTTTATTTTAACCTGTGTTATTGGCCCAGTCGTATGATGGCACAGGTGGTAGAAGGATCATGAATGTTGTGGAGAGTGGCACCATAGAATGATGTGCTGCTGCTATCTGCAGGATTCTTCTGTGAGTCCAGGGTGTCCTGATGGCACGCCTCCAGAGGGAGAGTCTGACTCTCAGAAAGTGGACTAAATAACCCTGGGCATCATTCAACCTGTAAGGGCGGCACCATCTAGCGCAAGGACTCTCTGCAATGGACAGTGACAGAGATAGGGTGAATATTGTGGTGCAAGATCCTTTTTTTTATTTGCACTGATTTTATTTAAGCTGGGGGTGAACATTCATAAGCAATGTTTCATAATTACCAATTTCGTTTTAATTAGCTGAATTTTTAGTCCTAATAAAAATAATACAGACCAAAATAAAAAATATACAGTATACGAAACCACAATACGTTCCCTTTAAGATATATACTATAGTGATCAGTCCTGTGAATGTTTGGTATACCGCACACATCTGATGATCCTTCTACTCTCACAGCTGCTCAGCCATGGGAGCCAACATTTATGTTAATGGAACCAGTACATCGGATGTGGTTTGCCTTCCCAAACTTACAAGGATTCCATCCACGTCATCGGCAGTCACCACAAGTAAGTCCAATCACTAAGCATAAACTTTGGGCAGCTTGCAAACTTTCAGCCTATATGGATGTTCGGTGAACAATTGCTAAATGTATTTTTAAACTGTGTATTTTTAACTTTCATCACAAAGCACAACAAGATTCAAGAAAGAATACACATGGCTCTTGTATTTAGAATGATAATATTTTCTTATCCTAGAACTAAGACAATAATGCCGGGTAGATTGATAGTGACGTTACTCACCTAGTGACTATTGAAACCATTGCTGAGCAGATAGGAATTTGCTGTAGCGGTGGATGTGGTGGGACTTCTTACGGAACCCCGGTTGAGAAACCCTGCTGTAGTGGGTGGGCCTGCTAGGTCCCTCCAACAGCTCTTTTACAATTAAAAAGTAATCACTGGGTTTGCAAGGGCATTTGGTGCAAACAAAGTGGATTTATATCCTTTGTGGCAATTGAGGCATATACCTAAAGGAGAATTATGAGGCGAATGTCTTTCACTCAGCCTCATAATCTGAGCCGACCTGTGACAATGAAACTTTCACAGGGCGGCTCAGTAGATCGGGAAGTGAGCGAACACATACTGTCGCTCGCTCACTTCTCGATCTATCCCTGCAGAGAGCCGTGACTGTCACTCACGGCTCTCCGCAGTGATTCCCCCCTCCCCTGTCTGATCCTCCCGCGCTGACTGGCGAAACAGACAGGGGAGGGGGCGGGCACAGCTGGGTCTGCCTCTGGATATCAATCCCGCAGCTGGGTGGATCCAGACAGTATTGTATACCGCCAGCTGTAGCTCGCAGTATACTGAGCTTTGGGTCACGGGAGAACGCTAGTTTGTGTTCTCCCGTGGCCCTTAGGAAAACTATGGGGAAAAGCCCTGACCCCATAGTTCTCCTTTAAAGAAATTAAACATTTTATTTATTTTTGCAGTGGGGCTACCTTTGCACTGCAAGGGTTAAGTGCTAATTTTTTTCTAGGTGCTAAAAAAAAGTTATACTCACCAGACCATCCGAGATGACTCCCTTCTTCTGTGTCCACGGAAGTGTGTCTCCTCCTCTGCTCCTCGGCATCCTCACATTCTATACACAGTGTACAGAGCGTGATGACTCCAGAATCCCTAGACCACTGCAGCAGATGGGGAGAGATGCTCAAGACACCGGTCTAAAAACAAGCCAGCTCGGATGGACTGGTGAGTATAACCTTTCTCTTTTTTTTAAGCCACTAGACACATATGAGCACTTAACCTTTACAGTGCATAGGTATCCCCACTGCAAGGGTTAATATTTTTTTGTGCCCGGAATTAAGCTTTAAACAATTAGATAAATATTGCATGTAAAAAATAACAGCTCCACACTTATTACGGAGTGATATTTATAGTGATATTTATGTTTGCAAATTGAATACTTTGATGAGAATACAAAAGTGATAAAATAGCAAATACTGTAAGAAAAACAGCCCATGCATTTCAGGGAATTGTTTCTGTAGTCTCAATCCCCCTTGTAGCATATGAATTGTTACATCTCTAATGTAACATAATGGAACATTCCAGCATCCAGCAGGGTAGCTTTGTCCTTTAGTCTTCAGAATATAAAAGGTTATTAAATGATTTTATACAAGCCTGAATGTGATTTGTGTTTCCTTGTATCAATACATATGTTTCATGTATCATTTCAGCCCAACCAGAGGAAGTTCCAGCCTATGGACTCAGTGTTGTTATAGGTGTAACCTCCGTCATAGCCATCATATTTGTGTGCATGGGGATTTTTTTGTGTCTGTCAATAAGATTGGAAAAGATCAAAAATAAGTTCATGAAAGGTAAGTAGCTTTTTTTTATTGTAGATGTATTTCTTGCCTGAACCGATCCCCAGCCAGTTGCTGACCTTCCCATCCCCAGAATACTAATACATGGCTAAAAGGCAGTTTACCTTTAATGAAGAAAGTAGGGCTGTTACTGATTAAAATTTTTGTGTTCGATTAATCGAACTTTTTTTTAATCGATTAATTTCGATTAATTATAACACACATACAGATCCAACTACATTGGCCTATACACACACAGCACAGCAATGAAGTAATAAAATGAACTAGGATGACAGTAATCCAGCACGTTATTAATCTCACGTGCCCCACTCAAGCGGCGGCCATATTGAGTGGGGCACGTGAGATTAATAACGTGCTGGATTAGTGTGATCCTAGTTCATTTTATTACTTCATTGCTGTGCTGTATGTGTATAGGCCAATGCCTTGGCTGGCGCTCGTGCAGAAAGTTTCAAAAAAAAATTAATCGATCAAAACATTTTTTTAAAATCGATCAAAAAGATTAATGATTAATCGAGAAATGAATCGTTAATTTGCACAGCCCTAGAAGAAAGTACTGCTCATACATTCGTCTGGTGAAGTCACATGACTAAATGCCAAGTCATAAGTCTTACCTTTAGTTTTATTTTAATTCTAGACTCACTATATTGAGATCCTGTAGTTACTCCTATAATCTCACTAATTACAATGTATTTTATTGTATGTCATGTTTTCTTTTTTGGCCAAACATTAAGTGATCTTAATCTTATTATTTTTTTAAACTTCTATTCATCAGTTAAGCAAATAGAACAAGAAGATGCTTGTAGCTGCCATTACCCAGAGGAAGAACATGGTGGAGAAGAGGAGACACTGTCTATAGAACCATGACACTGCAAACTGATATCACAGTCCTTTTTTGCTGGACCGACTGACTTGGCTAGCTGGTCCTTGGGTATTGTGTTAAATAATAATATTAGGGAATAACAATGTCAACTGTTAGAAGACTGCCTGTGTTACTACAAAAATGTTTAGGATAACTGGTCTGAGGCAAGGCCTACTAAAAAAAAAAAAACTGGAATAAGGGTCCTGCACCCCTACATGTTACAGACCCGGATACTTGGCCTGAGTTTATCTAGTGAACACGATGGAGGTCACTGGTGGCAAAATATATTTTGCTTTTCCCTTTAACTGGTCATTGTGTTAGGAGGTTCTTTAAAGGTGAAAGTCAAAGAATGGAGAACGTCGTATCTCAAGTGAATCTATATTATTGACACACATAGATGAATTCTGGAGACTGAGGTGGTTCACCTGTCAACTATAGGCCTACATATTTTCCAATCTCTTCTGTAGAATTCTGGAAATCTATGGAAATTCTGTCATTGATTTGGAGTCTGTGCAATATCTGTAACTATGCCTTTGTGAAGCACGTTCTAATGATGACTTGTTATCAAACCAGGCAAAATGGCCACAGTTGAAGAAGATCATTCTACGGTGTTTTCCCCACTGCTGTAGAATTATTTGGCCTCCTGACAAGTTACTTCTTCATAAAGGATGCAGACAATCACTTTAAAATGTTACCGGGGCCTTTACTGATTTATGATTGGCTGTTCTACAGATTTGAGATGACATTCAGAAGAGACAACCACTAAACTTGATTCCAAAGACCACTAAACGTAGGCACATGTGACTGTTTCCCAATGTGGGTAAAATCCACTTGAATTGGGCACACATGTATCTTTTGTATATGGATACATATACACTGAAATTGTGAACCAAAGAAGTAAAAGCAAGAGATCTGCCAATGTAACCATGGGAAGATGTGTCATCAGTTAACGTAGAGATGTTTCAAGAAAGCAATGTGGCCCTAGGACTAGAAACCTACAAACCTTAGTCTCATCTTCTTTTTTTCTTTATTTTATAGACTTTATTTTTTATAATATAGATTGTATATAAAATAGCTGATTTTAATTTATATTTAACACTGATGTTATGAAAGAGCATTGGAGATGGACTAACCAGCTATGTGCAACAGGTCCAAACTGGGATCAATGGCTATCAGAGCTCACAGTTTACAGACAGTGGGTATTAGTGAGAGGTTTATGGAACTGAATACATAACAGAATTTATTAGAGATCTGGAGCTGTTACAGTTTGAAAATTCATGTGGGACCAGCCGTCTGTCCAGAACATCATTAAGCATTTCTTAGTGCAATATATTTGTTACTGACTTTGTCTTTTTACTGGTGCATATACGGAACACACATCCTTGTATTTGTTGAAGCAGGTATGTGGGCTGCGGGTCCTCTGTGCAGGGATATCACTAATGGAGCACAGGATATAGAATATGATTCAACTCTTTAGGTGTCTATCAAAATCTGGACAGCTATGGTTAGGCTAGACCTTTACTATGTTCATAAGTCCTTGTGACAGGTTATAATTTTACGTGTTCCTGTATTGCTCTTGAGATTACGCTGCACACATTCTGATCAGAGCTTTTAAGGTTGCACTCTAACCTGCCACCTCCAGTACCTTGCTATTGGCCCATCACTAACCGATAACGATGCACAGATAGCAGAAGAGGTGGGCCAGAGCTTCATTAAGATGGCATTGGAAATTGCATAATAAAGCACCCAAGGTTTTAGCGGCTTCCAGGATGCTCTGGATAAAAAGATGAATGTAATATATGCACAAACTCCTGGAGTTACATATACAAATAGCAGTAAAATACATCTATAGCCATTTTTTAGTTTGGGTGGAGTGGTAAAGGGTTGGAACGTCTCTCGGGTTTTTATTGCTGTCAGTGGTCCGTTTGAGTAGGATAACCCTATTTATTTGTCCTGATAACCATTGTCAATGAGACAGAAATTGAGGGGAAATACACAATTTTATAGTTGTCACCAGAACAAGAGATGAAGGGGAATCTTCCAACAAGGACACGTTCCTGTGACATCTGTCTCAGAGGGGAATCCCCCTCATTCCGCAGAAGTTCCCTCTCACTTTCTGTTGCATCTCAAGTACAGGAAGTAAGCTAGAAAAAGTAAGAGATACCACAAGAGCACCAGACCAATGGTCAGAAAGTCCAAAAAGGGTTTCATTGAGATAAAATAGAACAGCACTCCCCCTTCATCAGGATATCAGAAGCTGCTTCTTAAAGTCTTAGGACCCAACACAAAACCTCAAAAAGACAATAAAGTTTTTGTCTTTTTTGCAGTCCTTGGTTTGATTCCAAGTATGTTAGAAAAGCTAAGTTTAACCATCCAGAAGCATCTTCTGACTTCTGGAAACTATTGTATTGTCTAATAAAACAAATTTACTCAAGAAATTACCTTTCATCAATTTCAGGAAACAAAAAGGGGATACAATATCTCTTCTAGTCATTTCATAAACCAAGTCTTTGCATTTTAGGTTCACGCATAATTCAAGCCTTGATAAGGGAGCTCCAGAGCCCTGAAACACATTGGATGTTCTACTTTACTTCAGCTAAAGCTTTTTTTGGACTTTTTGACCATTGGTCTGGTGATGTTGTTGTGCTTTACCCCTTGGTCTTACATTCTGGGTCCTCGAGTTATGGGCATCCTGTTTCCTGAGATTAGCTTCACCAAAACTAGTGAGCACCATAAAATGGACCAACTTTCCACATTTATGAAATATTAAAAACTGAAGATCCAGTGTCTATTCACACTTTCCAGCAAAAAGTAAACTGACAGTGGTTTAACCCTTCCCTACTTGATCCATAACAAAAAAATATGTATACACGTTGTTATTTGTATTTATTTTCATGCCTAAGCAATTTAGTATAATAATATATAGAATAATATAAATAAGAATTATGGTATTGTATGTTGACTTGTTTATTACCTACACTATATGGTCAAAAGTTTGTGGAAACCAGACTCATCAAACCATATCTATATGGAGCTTGCTTTGTACACAAGGGCACAGTCATGCTGGAACAGAAAAGGCCCTTCACCAAACTGTTACAACAAGGTTTACAAGACCTTTCACAAGATTTTGGACTATGTTATGGAAATTTCTGCCGATTCATCATACTTGAGGTCAGATACTGATGCTGGATGAGAGACCTGGCTCACAATCACGGTTCCAATTCTTTAAAACGTGTCCAGTAGAGTTGAGGTCAGGGCTCTGTGCAGGACACTAAAGTTCTTCCACACCAAACTCATCAAACCTTGTCTTTATGGAGCTAGCTCTGCACACAGGCATACAGTCATGCTGGAATAGAAAAGGCCCTTCATCAAACTGTTACAACAAGGTTTACAAGACCTTCCACAAGATTTTAGAGTGTGTTATAGACATTTCTGCCCATTCATCATACATGAAGTCAGGTACTGATTTTGGATGAGAAGACCTGGCTCACAATCAGGGTTCCAATTCTTTGAAACGTGTTCAGTTGGGTTGAGGTCAGGATTCTGTGCAGGACACTAAAGTTCTTCCACACCAAACTCATCAAACCTTGTCATTATGGAGCTAGCTCTGTACACAGGGGTACAGTCATGCTGGAATAGAAAAGGCCCTTCACCAAAATGTTACAACAAGGTCCACACGACCTTCCACAAGATTTTGGACTATGTTATGGAAACTTCTCCCCAATCATCATACATGAGGTCTGGTACTGATTTTGGATGAGAAGACCTGGCTCATAATCAGGGTTCCAATTAATTGAAAGGTGTTCATTAGGGTTAAGGTTGGGGCTCTGTGAAGGCCACTCCACACCAAACTCATATACAGTACCCTTCACTGGAGACATCTGAACTCAACAATTTGGAGGCAGGCCCACATACGTTGAGCCATATAGTGTATATACATATAATGTAAATAGTTGTATGAGTTTGTACAAAGGAGGACATTGGACTGTAATTACTGGAGCAAAAATGGAGGTGTCACCCATTGCAACCCAATCGGCTGATAAGGTCGGCTGATAAGGTGCTTGAGAGCAACAAGTCAATATATTCTTTGCTCCAGTCTCTGTAAATTGTAATTGTTTTGTACAATAAATGTCTATGAATGGTTCCTGCTTTATGTTGCAGTTAATCTATAATGCTGGCCACACGCAGGGTCATTTTTCTGCCTGGATTCAATACTGTTTACATCACTGACACAGAGCAAATATGCAGTGGCGTCACAAGGGGGGTGCGGGGGATGCTTGAGAGAGAGAGGGGGGGGAACCGGCGGGATAAGGTATGCCCTCCTCTCTCTGCCGGCGTCCATCATCAAGATGGCCGCCGGCAGGTAACAGCGGTATAGCGCGACGTCATCACGCGCATGCGCCATGATGTCACGCGCGTACGCGATAACGTCACTGCGGGGTGTCACCCGGTACCCGCACCAGGTGTCACCCCGCCTCGGGACGCCTCTGCAAATATGCAAATCCGGAGTACAGTGTTGGCTGTCACTTCACTTGCTGCATGCTTGTGCTGAGTCAGTGAATCAAAATCTTGAAGCTGGAGACAGCCAGAAGACCAGCACTTTTAGAAGGCCAACAATGGCAGCCTATATGTTTTTTCCTAGTCCAGGTACAGTTTAAAGCTGAACTCCAGGCAAACAGCTACATTCACATATGAAATACATGTATGGGAGCTGTTTTTAGATTTGTTTTACAGTCCACCAAGTCCTGAGATTTACACAGCTCTGCCACGCAGCACAGTTCTGTCTGGTAGGGCAGGAGACCTGATTTTTTTCTCTCTGCTGCAGATCAGTATCACTAACAGGTCTTATCCCTCCCCCAGCCTGTGAATGGACAGTGAAATAAGAAACAGCACACTGGGGTCATCTTTCCCTCACTCTGCTCCCTCCTTCTGTCAGCATGTTTAAACTGTAGCACAGCGGACTGGCTTCTTGTGCTGCTTCTTTCACTCCCAGTCTGGGCTCTGCTGTACAGAGACTGCAAAAGGCTGATATCAGGTCAAGTCAGGTTGCACTTAACCGATGTCAGTATATTGTGTCAATGAATATGGTGCCGCGTTACTTTGTAACTTTTGCATCTGCCTTGAGTTCACGT